TGTGTGTGTGTACACAGACACACACACACAGGTGATTTCGAATTTGATTGTTTTTTTCAATGGGGTCATGTTCAGCATTAATTGATTATTGACACATTCAGCAAAGATTGCAGAGTGCAAAGACTCAATGATGCCAGTGTGTGTGTGTGTGTGTGTGTGTGCGTGCGGGCGTGCGTGCGTGCGTGCGCACACACACACACACACACACACACACACGTGAGAGAGAGAGAGAGAGAGAGAGAGAGAGAAATTATTTGTGATAAATAATAATTTTCAGAAGGGCAAAGGCTTTGTGGCGCATGTTGAAAATAAGCAAATGTCAGCAGTTCGCTGTAGGCATTGTTCAATGTTATTTATTTTCTTCATGGAGAAATGTACTATCAACCCTTCTGAAATTTCAACAACACACACCTACTGGCAACAACATTATGACTTGCACAATCGAATGAGTTCCAATACGAGAGCGGAATCAGGTCAAACCATTGTGCCTTTACGAAGAGAATAGTGTTCAGTTTTGGATAAAACTCAAGTATTTATTTTCCTACAGGCAGTCTGTAATATTGTAGTTTCCTCATTCAACTACTCCCCAGTCAGAATATTAGAAAGTAGCTCTCCCTAAAATGCAGTGATAAATTACAACCATACGCTATGTCAGATTTTTCCCTGAGTGACAGGTACATAAATACAATGCAGTTGACAAAAACATCCACAAGTTTGAACAGATGATGGAATCGGTGTCAATCCTCTCATCACTATGGACATCAAAGTAAAGGATGAGAACAAAATTGATCGTTTTGATGTTATAATAGAGAGCGTGGACATTAATAAAATGCATTTCATGTTTGAGGTTGTACTGTGCACATGCATTCCAGGTTTAAAAAAAACGTTTTGTTAAGTGCTGATTCTAAAGTGTTAAGCACGTTCAAAATAATATCAAGATGCATTCAAGATGAAATAAACGGGACTGCTGAATGCGACGTTGAAGTAATAATTTTTTCTTCACTTCAATTTAGAGAGCATTTATAGGTGAAATAAGCACATGAGAACATCTATGTTGCTTGTTTGCTGAATTAAATAGCAAACAAACCAAAGTGCTGATGTTCACTGACACAAAAAAAACAACTCTATACAAAAAAAAAAAGCACTCCAAAGCAGGCGAAGCAGAAAGTACAACAAAAGCACACAGAATGACTTCTAATCAATCAGTGGTCTGTATAAAACCTTCAATTCAGGATTTAGCGACGACAAAAAGGAGATCATATTTCCTTTATTGGGTCATCATTGTTGGAATCAAGCAGGTGTAAAAAGGAGGTTTTAATAAATCGGCTCAGATGGGATTGACTTAAATCCAAGGATCCCGTCAGCCTGAAGTGGTTCGAAGGCCGGACTAACACACTAATACTCCCCCCCACCCGCAAAGACACACAAAAGAGATTAACAATACTCTCCAGGACCCCCGCTCCATTTATTTGTTTTCCTCAAGTGTCAACACAAGTAGAGAGCGTCAGTCTTTGGGTATCCTCAGAACTTTCACCATAAGGAGCCCACCTCCGACAGCAATTAGAGAGATTATGTCTCAACATGAGAAGGAGAAAACTCTAGTCGTGTGTTACTGCAGGGATTGCTTTTGACAAGGTCACAGAGAACCGTGCAACAGTGCACGACCTCAACATGCAGCTGCTGATTCCACTTGCATGAAAATGCAAGTAACACAATCGCTTAACGGGGAAAATAGAACCAACTTGATGCCGCTTAACAAGGCGAACAACTTCATAGTCTTAGGCTGTGTTTAAAATCACTTTCTTGACACGACAAAGTGAAATGTACAGTATCTTGAAAAGTCGCAAATAATTGATCAGTAAAAAAGCAATTAAATCCCATGATGTATCACGCCGATAGAGAAAAATAATTTTCTGCTTCCAAGATATTGTTTGATTTTTGCCACGAGGCAAATTCATAAGTTGTTTCTATGGCTGTTTTTTTACTCTGGTGCTAGTCATGTACACTTGTCACTTGAACATGCCATTTTGGGTACAGTCCCCCCCCCCCTTTTTTTTTGTAAAGTCCTTATCAATGGCATCTAATCATGAGGTGATAGCTTGACGGTTATAAAGAAATAAACATTTTTAGTGTATTTCCATTATTGTTTGGTTGAAAGTGGACCCTTGCTGTTAAAATCTGAACTGACTGTGTAGCCTCCAACATTTTCACGTGTTTTCGTCTAAAATGCTAAACCTGAAATTGATTAGGTCTGAAATTAGCTGTTTAATGACAAATACGTAAAAACCGAGCTGGCGATCCAAAACGCAAGTTAACGGTGTTAGGTGGAGTTCATTAATCTTAACATAGCATGAGTAAATTAAGCTGCACGCTAAATGACGTCGTGTGACCTGAGTTGGGTTCGATGCTACCTGGTTCCGGAAGGCGGCCTGTTGCTGGTCCACTTCCCGCAGTGCCTCCTCCCTTTTCCCTTTCCCGGCCACCTCCTTCTCCTTCTTCCTGGCGTCCTTTCACGTTAATTGGCAGCATTTGAACCGTGAGCCGTAAATCAACAAGTGCGGAGTGTATTATAACGAGTGGGACCACCCAAGAAAAGTAGTACTTTGTCCGCACTTTCGCCACAGACAATGTGAGGATCCTTGAGTATGCTGCGCTCTGAAAGCCACAAATGAACATTAACAAGAGCAGTGCGACCGCAAGCCCATACGAGCAAAAAGGAGTTTGAAAATAAATTAAGTATTTTGGGCCATGACAATAAACATGGTGTTAATCTTTTTTTAAATTAAGATCTTCATGAAAGGCACCCTTTTCTCCACAAAGATGGCATATCTTGACTATTTTGTGTATTTAATAATTAAACACACGTTTCAATGCTATGTCAGTCTAACGAAGTTCAACAACCACATTTTTAGGTTGTTTAAATCAAAATTTGCTCATAGGGGACATAATTAGAAAGTGCTTTCCAAAAGACCCATTCGCATACATGTCGTGGTGTTTAACATTCCGTACATTGCAGTGATGAAAATGAATAAATAAATAAAAAGAATTCCTCTGCAACTCGTTTAAAAAAAACATTTCCACCGGGGCACAGATAGCAATGTGGGACCGCTGTATATAATGAAACCTCCCAAAGAGGGCCAATGGCTACGAAAATACCAAGGTTAATCTTGATTAAATACCTTTCATGCCACAAAAAGCATATTTAACATAAAACATCATTCAAAGGGGATCCAGGCTTGATGTTAAAATTTTTATATGTAAAATATTGCTGATGGCAAGGCCAAGTATCCCAACTCTTCAGTGAAAAGTATCAAAGAAATTAAAGGAAATCAACATAGCACTTAAATGGCTTCATCTGCCTTCCCATTACCCTTCTTCCCAATTGGATTCACACTTAAGCAAACTAACATTCATCTTTGCTCAATATACATTTCGAAGATGAATGATTTATCCGAGCCTGCAGCCAGCATTCATTTCATAACAGTAGCCCCGTTTGCTTCTCGGTAGCAGCTAAATTGGCTCCAGCTAAATTGAAAAAGGTTAAAAAAAATATGATTGAAAAAAAAAAAGAAAAGGCAGACATTAATGATGCTTTCTAAATGCTGCTGCAGCTGTTGGAAGACTTCCCTCTCTTCTGTCCTGAGTGAGGAAGTCCTCCTGTGGGCTGAATGCCCTCTTACCAGCGACTTTTTTGTTCCCACACACTTGTCCCTGTCTCTCCAACATCCTTCTGCTGCGAGACAGCATATTTCCTTCCCACCTGTTGATGAATTGTGTTGCTGTGTGCAAAGCTAGGATGGGGGCAATAGCATGCGTCTTTATGCAAAACACTAGTTTCCTCACATGGGTATAGTGGTGAATGGAGGTCACAAAAAAAGGGCAGAGAAGCTAGCGGCCAAATTATAGTAATTTTCCCTCTGCAAACAGAAAAGCGTTGCCAGCTCGGGAAGGGAAGTCATAGATGTCTTAATGACTGCTGCTTCTAGTGGAGAAAAGGCCCTCTTGTTCTTTGTGGCTGCATGTTGAATGCTGATGAATTCCTCACCAATGCATGCTGCACTCTGTGAATCACGAAGGAAATCACAACGTTGTCATTTTTTTTATTTATACGCTTGATCGGGAACAATATGGAGAAAACCAAGAAGGTAGCACACTTAATGAGTTTCCTATCATCCACGTAGCATATCGAAGCATTTCAGGTTCAAATTATATTTGCAAAGCAACAAACCAATGTCAGATAAAGATGATGTGATCTTATTTTTTTTTTAAATGAATAAATGAATTAAGGGCGGCCCAGTGGTTTGCGCGTCGACCTCACAGTGCAGAGGTCAATCCCAGCTCTGACCTTCCTGTGTGGAGTTTGCATGTTCTCCCCGGGCCAGCGTGGGTTTTCTCCGGGTACTCCGGTTTCCTCCCACATTCCAAAAACATGCATGGCAGACAGATTAAACACTCTAAATTGTCCCTAATTGTGAGCGTTGATGGTTGTTCGGCTCTGCGTGCCCTGTGATTGGCTGGCAACCGGTTCAGGGTATCCCCTGGCTACTGCCCGAAGACGGCTGGGATAGGCTCCAGGGACCCTTGTGAGGATAAAGCGGTTCAAAAAATGGATGGATGGATGGATGGATAAATGAATTAATAGGCTGCTTAAACAAATAGCACATCAGGCAACTCGCTATTTTTTTGAAGGTACTGTAGTAAATAAATGTAAATAATATGTACTTTCTCGTACACTTTATATGAATGTCGGTATGTCATACATATAAATCCAATGTAATACATGTTGAATACATTCCATACGTGTTCACCCATTTTAAATAGCTCTCAAAATCAAATTTCACTCCATCTGCCCATTCACAGACGGTATTTATCGGTCACTTTTCCATTCAAATATTCTTTAAAACAAAAAGGTATTTGCACTCATTGGGGGCAATATAATGCACAGTTTCAAAAAATATATATATTAGACCATACTTTATTTATAGACCATTTATTTATTGTTATTTCATGTTAAATGCCCGGCACAACTTAAAAATTCATTTGCTAGGACAAATATGATGACAGAGAAAAACAGCTGATAAGAGTTAAATTTCAGAGACGTTCGAGACAATTTCCAAAAGTTTTCTTGATAATAATCAAAGTCACTTCACAAATTCTTCCATAAATAGCTATGGCATTGGACTGTCAAAAAAACGGTGATTCGTTCCATGTATTCTTTTCTGTCTGTCACGTGGTACAGCTTTTGTGGGACAAGGTATTCAAATGAACAAAAAAGTGAAGAAAACAAGGTGTCTAATAATTTTTTTCCATGGATGTATCGCCAAAACAATGACAAGTGATCACCAATGTGTGCGCACAATGTGATGCCTGCAAATTAATTTTATGAGCGGACAAAGCTCGTGTGGAAAAAGCTTAACCACTTGAAATTGTTTCAAGAGTTCTCTCTCGTCTCATTCGCCGCTGAAATCTCACACACAGAAAGTAAACATGAAAAAATACACACGTTTGCACAGATTGATTTCAAGGTTTATTTGGGACACAAACACTTGAAGAAGACGTTCCCATCAATCCTCCACGGATCAAAACCATCTTGCTGAAATGGGGGGGGGAAAAATGGCTTTACATTGCAGTGGGGGTGGAAAGTAGCTTAGTATGGATACTATAGCTCTTAGGTAAAATTTGATTTCAACTCCAACTACTTCACTGTATATAATGGTTACTAATTCATTTACTTAGTGGGTGACATAAAACATATAAAATCATCTCATGAGGAAAAATATCAATCGTGTTGAGTTTAATAAATGAGCTTGGAATATTTTAATGGCTCGAGTCTGTCTGGCCGGAATGTGCCATCTTAACTCTTTCATGCGCCCTGTAACCTGATAACATGATAAGCTGTCCACTGTAGTGACCGCTGTCCCTGAAAGGGTTAAAAGCACCCCCATCGAAGAAGTTGTCATTTCATAAAGGACAACAATAGAATTATAATAGAGCACGCAGGACTGGAGCCAGAATTGAAGCCACTGTTTGGAATGTTGTTAAGCAGTGGCAAACAGAGCTGCAAGACAATACAATTCACTGGCCACAACATTAGGTACACCTGCACCACAATATAATTCAACTTAATTAGGAAGATATTCACATTTTTTCCCCCCATATATGATATGATGAATACATTGCTGCAAATTACAATCCCGGTGATGAACATCAATCTATCCATTCATCGATTTTCTAGTGTGTTTGTCTGGTCCGTGAGAGGTGGGGTACAACCTGGACTAGTCCCGTCAACGTGTCAGTCACAGGGCATAATTAATAAGAAAAAAAAACAAACCAAAGAAAAAAAAAAGATGCAGTACAAGGATGAAATGTTGAATGACTGGTCAGTCATGGCAGATGTATAAATGAGCCACACTCACACTTCACACAGGAGGAAGTGATGGCAATGGAGGCTTGATAAAACATCCCGATTAGCTGTTGTTTTTTTTTTTAGCTGAAACCACGGAAGATGAGGACGTCAGAATCCTGGGGAGGAGAAGAGCAGGGTGGAGGTGAATTCTGACGATGGAGATGAAGCCAAGAGAAAGCATGCCTGAGGAATGATTCAACCAGCACTTGGCTACATGCTGGCACGTCGCAGACATCATGCGCAAGAGTCTGGTTGGCGGAGTAGGCGAGGAGAGAAAGGCCCGGACACATATTACGAGTTCAAACTATACGGCGGAACCCCGCAATTGGCAGCCGATGGGGACCTGGCTGGCTTGTAAATATTGATTCTGAACTGCTTCAGATGATGGACGTGGCTCAAGGAGATTTATGTTTTTGTTTTAGTCTTGCTGTTTTGTGTATTTGTGATGTGGTGGCAGTGGTAGAGGCGGATTTAGTGGGGCGAATCCCCAATCAAGGGCCAAATACATCATCCGGCACGGAAATGTACGCTGTACTTTACATAAAAACCAAACTCAAACGCATCAAGTGTTGAAGAGGCCCAATGAATACACAAATAGTATACAAACAGTACAGTGATCCCTCACTTATCGCGGTTAATGGGGACCGAGACCTCCCGTGAAAGAGGAAAATCCGCAAAGTAGTAAATTTAATGGTATACATGCATGGAGAAGTAAATGTTTATAGTAATTAACATTACTTAATGCTATACTGTATATATATATATATATACGCATACACACACATACACATACATGTATAAGATGTATAAGTTAGGTTAGGTTAGTGTATAAATAACAAAATACAGTAAACATAAACATGAAATATACATGTAGTACTGTATATGTTGCTCTATGTGACTCGCTGTTGTTTTGCTGACTTTTGCGCTGCCTCTTGCGGGCTTTTTGTGGCATTTTCGCTATTTTTTTTGGGGGGGGGTGAATACTTTGGAAAAATCCGCGATGCACTGAAACCGCGATAAGTGAACCACAAAGTAGCGAGGGATCACTGTATTTCAAAAAAATGCCACAGAGCCATGACAAGACACTCCAGCGGGCTGGATATGAGAAAAGGCTGTGTGTGTACCAAAGACAAACAATTTTCCCAAGAGTGACATCAATACAGTAGATGACAATACGTGGTCTTGCACAAAGAGATGAAGAAAATTCCTTCTATAGATTTACAGAAGATGGCCACAAAGGTTCAGAAATAGTGCGGCGCCTTTAGGAGCACCTCCAGACAATAACACCTATACTGTCGAGAGATGACGAGGTTGTTAGAAAAATGTCATTCAGCATATAATTGCATTTCATCTCATTCTTGCCCTTCGGCAGACAATGCCGCCTTCTTTTGTGAGGCCCTCGGTGGCTTTTGTGCAGGCGGCACAATCCAAAATGTCACAATCCATCACAAGACTTCCATAATGATAAACATAGTTTGTTGTACAGCGGAAACCCTTCAAAGTCAGAGTCCCAAATGTGGAAAAGTTTTGACTTTTGGGGGCAGGTTTTTTTTTTTTTTTCACCACAGAAAGGTAAACAGTGTGCTCAAAACAACAGACCCTCATATTGAAAAGCTGCTTAGTGCAGTTGAATCCAAAAACTTTTTTTAATAAAGATCACCAACTCCGGCCATACCTGAAATACGCCCCGCAGTGACTGTATCACTCTGACAATACCTTGCTGCCCCCCTGACCCCCCTGTAGTGTCACGCACCGCCACACCCTGTACATTAGGTTAATGTCTTGATATTTGTATTGGAGTTAATAGTGTTCAAAAATGAATATAGATATGTTGCCAATGTATGCTAATGGGTGATTTTGGGGGAAGGGCGGCAGGGAGTATTTGGATATTCGACCATATTTTAACTTTATTGATAATCACTATCCGTAGCCTGCTGGCTTTCGTCATGAAAGGTTGTCGTGAGGTCTCCGCTTGTGCGGTGCAGTTTTAACTCGTTTCAAACATTTCAACCTGTTCCAAAAGAAATGCAGTGTGGACAGGGCTTTAGTATTCCGAGATTAAGCAAGTGAAGTAACATCATGAACTTTTAACAGCATGAATAGATATCTTGGCAGAGACAGCAGCAGGAGGAGGAGCAGTAATCAATAGTATAAGAATGCGTATCGATTTTTGGTCCAATAATGTTTCTCAAGAAATCAAGTTGTGTGCCGGGACACTTGTGAGCATTTTTTTTTACATTTTTTTTTTTTTTTACACTTGTGAGCATTTTTTTTTACTTTTTTTTTTTTAAACTGAGGCTCCTAAAATAGTGTGACAAACTGTATTTTAGCAATGACAGAAGCACGGTTAAAATAACGGCGAAGTGTGAAGCCTGACAACAGATGGGACTTGGCCATCCTGAAATAATGACGCACTGATGATGGTGGACGAGCAGGCTAAAATCAGTGATGTCACTTCAACTGTCTTAGCAATGAGATTGTTTCTTTAACCAATCAGATTTCAAATTGGACCTCATAAGGCGAGCGATCTGGCCATTGAAGACGTCAGGGTTTTTCTGTCAGAGCAAAACTTGTAACAGCCAATAGCAAAACACGTCTATATATAAGCGTCTGTACATTTAATCACCAGCATCTTGAGTGAGTATGAGCTCGTTAAAAAAAAACAAAAAAACGTAGGTCTCTTTTATTTTATAAATATTCATTCTATGATATGTTGGGCACGTGTGTTATTGTATTGCATTTTTATATGGTTTTGATGGTTTCTATAACTGCGATGTGATCGTTGCGGTATTACTCTGAAGGGCCAAATTCACAGCCAGCCAAGTAAGTGGTTATTAAGAAAGTAAAGCACACACGGTATCGGCTTGGCTCACCTCAGGGTCACCTCCGAATAACAGTAATGATGCAAGTCAGAATCAGACAATAACAACCACTCTCAGGAGAGACAAGTTATTAAAGAAAATGAAGGACAGAAAACAACTGCCGCTGCAGCAAGGTGGCCGATAGTGAAGTCAAATTCTGCGGCAATATAAGGCACTACAAGTGGGAAAGCTACAAACCCAATTGCGGTGATGTTGGGGCAATTTGTGAAACATAAATAAAAACCAAACACAATGATTTGCAAACCATCGTGTTGAATTGAATACACTACAAAGATAAAACATGTTCAAACTGGTAAGCTTGATCGTTTTGAGCAAATAATCGAAAACTTAGAACTTCATTGGGAAATGAGTTTGTAATATTCGCGCATGTCTTTATTTTTCTCATTTCTAGCCTTGTTTTTAAAGTTGTTAGACCGACTTGGTAATGACAAAGGATCCTGGAGCAATCGAGAGACCGGCAGCGATTTACTTCACACCGATTGTACCGGCTCAGCATCTTGCCTATCGGTTGGAACCAAAAGCCGCGAGCAACAAAACACGAGTGGTGGTGATGGCGGGCAGCTGTCAACAAATTCCACAGCTTCGGCGCCAAAGCCGAGATGACCCTCTGGCGGGAGTTGACATTAATCCTAAGTCTTCCAGTCGGCGCGAAGGCAATGAGAGGACACAATGCGGTGCTGGGAGCCAATGCTGATCGAGGCTCAAACGGACCAAGGTGCCGATGCTAATGAGCGGATCTGCGGCTCCTTAATGAGCCCGCATCATTTGATGTCCTCATTTACAGTGAGCCGTGTCTCAGAGGTGAAGGATAATGAGGATTCCCAGGGCAGCGGCTTGTGTAAGCCACCTCATGCAGGTCACACATGAAGGGACGCGACGAGCTCGGGGGGACATGGTGGTCAGTATCTTTTGAGAGGTTCGGGGGTGGGAGCATGTCAGCCATGCTTGATATGCTTGTTTGTACACTAATCATCGAATCACTGCAACCAAGTGAGAAAAATTTGGGCTCCCCCTGACAAATGCACTTCAGGCAACAACTCACAGGAAGAGGAAATGGAGAAGTGCGAGAGGGATTGCAGGTGGGTACCATAATTGGGGCTTGATTCTGACCTTGTGTGATATGTCTCAACTCTGAAATAAATGTACATCTTCGGAGATGCCTTGAGATAAGAGCAACCCAAATGTTGAGATTTTTCAACAAAGCAGCTGTCAATCACCTGTTTTATTATTATTATTAATTTTTTTGTGAACTTTCTTCAATCTCATCATCTGGTTGGCAAATAGTGAACAATTCATCAAAAAGACCCTTGAGGCAGTTTAACACGGCTCCCAGTTTAAGTTTACTGTCATGAGAAAATAAAACGAAATTTTTTTTCTGCACTGTGAAGCACAGCTAAAAGCACTGAATTTCCTCAAAAGCCGACAGTGCGTCTTATAATCCGGTGCGCCTTATATATGGATCAATATTTTGATTTCTCGGATGTGGTATTTTAAATATTCTGTAAAGCGCTTTGCTACAGCTTCACCGGTTGTGAAGGCTCTATATAAGTAAAGCTGTATTTATTCGTATTCCCTTTAGCGTAGCTCCATCTAGTGGATGCATAATGCAATGGCAGCCAGTATTGTCACTTATATTCAATGCGCCTCATAATGTGGTGTGCCCTATATATGAGAACCGTTTTACAATAGGCCATTCTTTGAAAGTGCGCCTTATACCCCAAAACGCCTTCTAGTGCCGAAAATACGGTACATGTGAATTGAAAACAACCAAACACAGCCTTAAGACTAGCCTGCTAGCTTGCTGCTAGCATACTGTGCCCTCAGTAATTAATTACTTATTTTGTAGCTGAACGGATTTTTGAAATATTTTCATTTTTTTTGGTTTTTAAGTTTTCACAATAAAAGCTTACACAATTTAAATGTGTTGTAATTTTGAGCTTTGATGTTTCAGAAAAAAAATCCACCTGTTGCTGAATCAAACCCTTATTTCAAAATCATTACTAAACATATTACAGCTCTTGGTGCAACAAAGTTCACAGAGGATGTGTGTCCTGACAGCCCCCTACTCTTACTGATGCGGAGCAGATGAATTAGGCGAGCTGAATTTTTGTTGTTGTTTTTTTCTTTTTTTTTTTTCCTATTCGCGACAAACAGAGCATGACATGCGCTTCAACAATGGCAGATGGATGAGGAGTCAGCCCCATTTGATGATGCCCGGATCCGGTGGTTTGAGG